CATACGACATATTCGCTTATCTTTTTCTCATTATTTTCTTGAGGAAGGACATCGCCTGAAAACGCTACCATGCGCCGCGGTATGCCAGACCGCCGGTAGCGAGTGGCATAGGAGGTTTTTCTGTGTTTATTCTTTTTTTTACTCGCGGTTCGTTTGATTATCTCCACGTATGCGTAAAAAACGTAGAATGGGGAACGTTTTTCATCTGTTTGTGCAGTCTTCTTCGTGTCCGGTTTGCTGGCACCCGCGCGACTTTTGTGCCATGGCTACGTGAAAAGCGAGAATGGGAGACGGGGGGCTGGGGTGATTTCTTCTATTGGATGGTCGAGGCGATGGTGGCTGCCTGTGTGTGCCGCCGCTAGCCATCGTAGCGACGGAGGCAGCCGCCCTCACTTGTCGCCTTTGTGGAGAAAACCGCTCGAAGGCGAGACTGTTTTTTCGGGAGCTCGTATTTCCCATTTCTCCTTTTCATCCTTCTTACCATTCTTTCTTTCCTTTCTCGCCCTCACAGAGACCCGCCAGCCTACTCAGCTTCTTCTTCTTATTCCAAGTTCTTTCTCGGCATGCCGCAGAAAGTACGGTCTGCAGTCGCGCGCATTCCATTGTACGAACACGCGTCGTTGCGTGTTTCGAGATGAACTCGAAAATGTTCCGCGCCAGCTTGCTAGGTTGTCTTTTCTTTTCTCTCTCTCTCTCCTCGCTCGCTTTTCTTCTTGAATTCCTTTTCTAGAATGACTGTATCTCGTAGGTTTTGCTTTTCGCCTTCGGAGAGGACGCGACGACACCATCATCTGCCGAGCCTTCGGCGTGGTATAACCATATGCCCTTCGCAGGCCCGGAAAGGCTTTATAAGGCTCGAGCCATCCGCGCAACCGCTGAATCGCACACGCTTCCTTTTTTCTTCTTTCGTCAGGCTTTGAATGAATGCCATCTCGGTTTTCTTCTATACGAAGAGCTTGGCTGTTTGCCGCTGCTTTGAGCTCCCACTCATCCTCGTGGAGCTGTTGCGTCTTTATTTATTTTATTAATGTTATTATTTTTTGCTGGTGGCGTTGTTTTATAACAGTTGAAAACAGAAATATGTGCATTGAGTTTCAGGCACTCTTGGAGGATTTGCGAACGTGGAATGTATTAGATAGGCCTTGTTTTACTTTTGCCACTGCATGACGCACCTTTCTTTTACTGTTTTTTTTTTTTCACTCTCAGTACTTACGGTCGTGTTTGTTTCTTCCACACTGAAGATCCGCGAGTAAGCGAAGCATCTATCTTTCTTTAAACAATGCTGCTACTGTCACATGTCTCCCGCGCATTGTCATCGGGTATTTCGGCTTGTCACTTCTTGTGTTCATCACATAGGTCACTTATTTTGCTCTTATTATTATATTTTTCGTGCATCTGGTTGCCGTACTTTCATCGGAGCGCACAAATCCGTTGGTGAAATATATGTAGGGATAAGATCGATGCGGTCGATGTTGCAGGAGATCTTATGAGCGGCAGCCTTGCTTCAAAGCTCAGGCTCACCAACCTTCTTGAATCTTTTGTGTGTGTGTGTGTGTGTGTGTGTGTGTGTGTGTGTGTGTGTGTGTGTGTGTGTGTGTGTGGTGTGTGTGTGTGTGTGTGTGTGTGTGTGGTGTGTGTGTGTGTGTGTGTGTGTGTGTGTGTGTGTGTGTGTGTGTGTGTGTGTGTGTGTGCGCGCGCGCGTGCGTGCGTGCGTGCGTGCGTGCGTGCGAAGTCTGTTGGAAACATCGACAACGTTTCATTGTTCTATAGCCGGGTTGGAATATGTATTCTGCGTCTACACTGTTGTCACTGAGATCAAAGGTAGTGCGCTCTCAACGGTGCGATAACGTTTTTCTTGTGCGACAGACTTTAAGCCAATATAACGCTGCTGCCTGTGTGTGCGGCAGGAATTGTTCAGCTTCGAAAAATAATCCTGAAAGTATTTCGCGAGGCATTGAACCCCGGTTCTGTAATATTGACTCTCTCAAATTTGATCCGTGGTACCTCTTCATGAAGTTTTTAAACGCTGCGTACCTCGCATGCGACTGGTGAAGTTTCGAAACGCTATAGACGTTTTATGTGGCTCGTGATGAGTGACGCTTATAAAGGGGCATTGTGCGGGGATATGAGGGCTAGGCATAACACTGTATGCGAGATAGTTCACGGGTCACTACCATGTGCCTTGTTGCGTCACGTTGCGTGCGCCTTCTAGACAAGCTGCTCGCGCTTCGCCGAAAATTATATAAATAATGTTTTCAATATAATCAGAAAAGAGGAAACCGGACGGGGCTGTTGCCAGTAAATTTCGCAAGGCCATAAACATATCCCACGTTTTCAGTCGCGGTGCTTAGTCCTCGCCCAGGTCAAAGCTCGCCACCGTGCTCTATGATCACGTGACAACTGGCACAAGCAGCTGCAAAGCTGACAGCTGCTTGTGCCAGTTGTGGCGTCATCATGGAGGACGTTGGTGAGCTTTGAGCTGGGCGAGGCCTTCGCGTCACGACGTCGCTTTAAGCGCCTCAGTATATCGAAGCGGCCTACCGCTGTTTGAAAACTTGGAATAGGCGCATATCCATCAGCAACTTGCAATACCCCCCTTCTGTATCATTCCATAGAAAAACAACAACTAAGTCCACCTAAGCGTTAGAGCTGTATTCTTATACCTCGCATTATGCAGGCACAACAGCAGCGCGGAGTATCACGAGATGGACACCAGCTGCTAGTCAGTGAGTGGTCTATAGATGTGCTTCTTTTAGTGAACCTTGCCATTTGATTCAAGCATTTCGAACTGTGCTACGATAGTCGTGCATGAGTATGCGCGAGTGGGTCTCGAAATTACATTTCCGGGCTTTTTCAGAGCTCCCTCAGGTGGGCTGGTAGCAGCGTTCTAACGCTCTTAAAAAGAGAAAAAGCGAGATAACTTTCAGTTTACTTCACTAGGACATCTTCATGAAAGAGAACATGATTTTTTTTGTGTGTGTGCGTGTGTGTGTGTGTGTGTGTGTGTGTGTGTGTGTGTGTGTGTGTGTGTGTGTGTGTGTGTGTGTGTGTGTGTGTGTGTGTGTGTGTGTGTGTGTGTGTGTGTGTGTGTGTGGTGTGTGTGTGTGCGCGCGCTCCTGATGTGAATTTGTCTTTTGTTGCTGTACTCTGTACGCTATACTCTCTCTGAATGTAACCATATGAAAATTCGCCTCTGTAAATTCACCCCAGCAGGGAGCCCGAGTTTTTTTCACCGTGAGGTTAAGCACGTTAAGATAAGTTAACCAGACTCGGCTGCTTCTTCTATTGAAACGTACAGTGAACTGTGTCCGCCAAGACCGAAAGGAAAGTGGTAGCTTCACTTTTCGGTGCCTCTATACGATCTGAAACATTGTCGGCAACGTCCCTACTGATTTATTTGCTGCAACAACGCTGTACATCACACGAATAGATCAAAAAATGATCTCGTAAATTACCTACTCCCAAAGAAAGTACAATATCCAAAGATGCGTATATATGTAACAAAAGGCGCAATCGAGAAACCGCAGGCCGTAGATCGAATGCATTCGCCAAGCGTATTGTATGTGGACACACCGATGCGCAGATTCCTTTTCCGACCGTCTGTTGTCAGATTGTGCTGACATCCAATGTACGTTCACAGCTGCCCTTTCAATATAGCTCGCTTTTCTTTCGTTTTGTCGTACCATAACTTTTTTTTCTCCCGCGCATAACTTTTTCGCCGCTGATCCTATACGTGCAACCTCTTTTTCATTGTCTATTGGACGCGTACCATTTGAAATCGGCATGCATGGTGCCGCAGTCTCTCTGCATTACAAAAGGCTTACCGTTCGTGCGCGCCGAAATTGCCTAGCGCTCATTGAAATGCATTTGAAAAGAGTCGATCTAGTGAGAAAATGAATTGCTGCCCCCTCTTCCCCTCTCGACCGCTCTTATCTGGGTATTCGCGTTTTACGGAGGCTTAGCCGAGCACCGACCGCTCTCCTTCAATTCGGTCGCAAAGGTAGGAGCTAAATTAATTATTTTTTTCTCTTCTCTTCAAACTAATCGCACACGTTTTGTGAGATAGCCATGTGGAAGAGCATCTCTCTCTCTCTTTCTTTTTTGTATCAGTCGTCGTTATAAACTGGACTGTGGAGTGGAACATAACTGACGAGGGGTCAGCAAGGGGGAACAACGAGAACAAAAATATTACGAGTGGTTGGGGAAACTAGAATGATTCGGAAAGGAATGGGGAAGGACGGGAAACCGACCATGCGCTGGTATAGCGGAGAGGCGAGGAGGGTGGAATAATAATAATAATAAAATATTTAGTTCCGAAAGCGGCCGAATCGGGAGGGGGGCCTGCGAAGCAGGCCAGGCCGAGACCCTGGTCGCGCTTTTTTTTTTTTCGTCGTTTCGCGTCAGCAAGCAATTGACGTCACGTCCGGGTGCACTCGGGATTGGCCCGCTTCTCCGTGCGCGTCTGCGTCCGCTTTTGAGGGAAAGGGTGGTAACGCGGCGGCGGACGTCGTCTGCTACTGCAGCGTAGCGGCGCTCTGTGTAAGGACACAAGCGCCCGTAGCGGCGGCGCTAGCAGCAGCCTTCGAGCGCGACGCCCAAGAGCGCTTGCCGCGTCGGCGTGCCTGAGGGCGCTCCGATCCGATCGCGAGCTAAATTTAGCTCCTCCGCCGGGGAGTCGCTCGGCGCTCCGCGAGAGGGAGGTCAGGGATGACGCGGGAAGCGGCGAAGATGGCGGACAGCGAGTCCGGGGCTCCCGGAGTCGTCGGCGCCTGGGATGCTGCTGCGCTCCAGTGCACCAATGCGCCTACGCTGGTGACTCGACGAAAGGCCTGCGACGGGTGGCTTCTCCGCGCGGACCAGTAAGGAAAAAAAAAAAGACAGAAGGAGAAAAAAAAAGCGAAGACGGGCCTTGGTGTTGGTGCGTGCGTCGCGTGCTGCTGTTATTTTCCCTTCGTGCCCTCGAAGGAAGAACGTGTCGTCGTCGCTCCCCTGGCAACCAGCGGCCGCCGGCTGCTGCCGCGGCAGCGGCGGGGCCGCCGTTAGGCCTAAGCGCGTTCGACATGGTGATGGCACTGGACGGCCTGACGCGGCTCTGCCCGTCAGTGCTCTTCGACTGGCGTCTGTACGCCGAGCGGGGTTGCCCCTCCTTCTTTCACAAGCATCGGGGTCGGCTTCGTGTGGACGACTGCGAGCTCGCCTTCCTCAAACAGGTAAACGAAAAAAAAATTGTCGCTCCCCTCCCACCCTACTGACCCTGTACCGCCGCTTGCACCTACTATCCTGCTCGCGCGCAGATGAGGCTTCCCTAAGCTCTATACAGACGGACTCTATCTGCTATAAATCATCAACTACCTTCCGCGTGCCACTTCTTTCGATGTCATGGCCCGCCTGAGAAACATAGCTTCAACTAGTTCCTATCCCGCTTAACAATATTTTTTTACTGATTTTCTACGCACGAGACGATGCATGCATCAAGGGCGTCCTTGTCAATAAATCTGCGGGATAAATTGTCGTGCCTGCCTCAGTATCCCGCCCTGAACGAACGGCGTTCCTTGCGTTTCATTTCGATATATGTTGAAGGTCTCTCTCTCTGGTGTACCTTGGATCATTCGTGGAGGTTCACGTTGTGCCACGTATATGGTTTCGCATGCTGCCACCCCGTACGCCCATAAACGTCATTTTGTTTCGTGCACAAGTTGGAAGGCCGTGTGTTCGCCGGATTCGAGACACCGTTCCGTTTTCTTGCGGAATGCATGTAAACACACGTTCGGTCCAGTGAAGTCAACGCGGAGCGATTTCTTTGTTTCGGCGTGAGCACTAGGGGCAGTCGGTTAAATCATGTGATATATTGGAGAAGGCAAAAAAAAAGAAAAGTAAGAGTTTTACCAAGGTACTCCATTGTCATTTTACTATTTATCAAAGCGTTTTATGTTGTCTTCGAGCAGGCATTTTTTGCACCCCGACGTGTATTCACAAACCAACCTAATTCTCATCTCACATTTTCCTTATCGTTCTTCTGCCCTTAATGCATGATAAGTGCATAAAAACAGTGAGTCGGACAAAAAAATAACTGTGGTTGTTTTGTGAATGTTACTTTCATATTTGTTTATGGAGCACATCAAGGAAACTGAAAACGATAAGTAATACGAGCGATATCGAGATATAGTAATTATAATAACATTAACGAGTAAACGAGAGCTTACGAGCTCGGTTTGTGAATGGGGTTCTTTGAGAGAGAGGAAAAATAAGGCAGGAAGAATAACCTAAACAAGTGAGAGGTTTGATTTCCTACACGGTGGTGTGGAGGAAAGAAAACGAAAGACAACTAGGAAGAATGTGGTTTTAAACATAGCATTCATAACCGGACTGATACTCCTCACAGCACAGGATAATATTGTCAGCAGTAGGGTAGTTGTCGTCTGTTACAACTGCTGTGAAATATTCGCAGCCCTCCGTTGTCGTGGCTTGTAACTTCGGCATTGTTACGTGAACGGTGCTCAAAAACTTCTCCGACTTCACACAGTTGTGTTTTTTTAGTCGGCAGCGACGTAAGTGCGAGCATGATGTAATGACGACGGAACATAAGTCTAGCAAATGTGCATTAGTTTTATGTACGCCATCGAAATGTGCCATGGAGTTAACTCGTGTGTGCTTGGGGGGGGGGGGGGGGGGGGTGCTCATGCAGTCGCTGCGTCTCGCGAAGTGGTCACTAATAAGAAACCTGACTGGAGCTGAAATTAAAAAAAAAAAAAAACCTTGTCCAGGCCTACATGCAGTGTAATATTATTATACACTCCATACGAAAAGAATAAACTATGTTATGAACTAAATTTGAGTAGAATCGTTCTGTCATTCTATAATCTGGCCATTATGTGGTAGAGGAAACAGGCGCTGTGTACTGTTTTCACACGTCTCAAACACGTCGTAAATTGCTCCAAATGATGGACTGTGCCTGGTAGGAAGCGTACCACTACTTTACCTTCAGCGAATACATGATTGAAAACGTGTGGCTGTTTAGCTCAAATCACTTTCTATTGCTTAGACTTCATGGATTCAACTGTCCCCGCTGCATGTAGATGGTTTAAACATGGTCGCCTCAACGTAAATCGCGTGTGTTTCTCCTGTAAATCAAGTGTTGCCTCCCTTTGCGGGAGCAACAGAAAAAGAATAACGTCAGGTCCTTCCCGTGGGCTCACGACGTGGGTTATATGCACCTCGCGTTTTCCTTACCGACGGCAGCAGTTAAAATCCAGCGTTTATGTGTGCCGTGTCGCGCGTGACAGTCATGACCATCGACGTTATCTGGTCACCTCCTAGGCCTAAGCTTGGGATTTCAGCGACGTAAATTTAGATGTCAGTGACTAAACTAAACACGCTCAGATGTATAGTCAAGAAACCATATCGTAAAAGTGGCATCAGCTTGGTCAATTAACTGGCTCGGCACGGTGATTACTGATGCTTTCTGGTGGTTCGTTTTCCATCTGAGTGTCAACAACTAGCCAATTGTAGCCTCTCTGAACTACCTACGTGTTACTGCGTCATCATTTGGCGGTGCAAATACACACTTTGGTTTTCGCCATTGATTGTCCTCGATATTTGATGCAATGATGTGAAGATTAATTCATGTGTAAAGGTACGTCTAACTTAATTATGTGAAGGGCTTTTTACCGGTACAGCTGCAAAGAGTATTTAGTTATGTTGCTCTTAATAAACGCAGACTGTCCTCTTCAAGGTAGGACTGGACTGAAAATTCACGGTACAAAGAAAACGGGAGATGTAGTTGAGCGGCAATCGCGTAATCAGTGTACAGCGTATGCACTGTTATCAATTCTTGTTACCCTTTCATCCAGTACAGATACTTTCACTATTATGATAAGGCTAACTAACCGTGCCGCATAATCGCCGTATGAGGTGCATATATTCCGACTAATCGAAGCATAGGTATACGTGCACTGGCTAATTTTGACACAGTCACTGGCTTAGGTTGAAGCCTTGGTAGAGTTCGACACCCACCCAAAAATTTTGGTTTCTCATGTGTACGTTTTGCTTTCAAAAAGAAAATCTGGCTACGATGCTGCAAACAGTAACACGTAAGTAGTTGGGGGCGGCTACGGTTATAGTAAAGGTCGGATAGAACTCTAGTTAGGAGTTCACAGCATTTCCTCCTCAAAGGCTGATGCACACAATGTATGCACCAATGGGCTCGCATCCCGGAGTGACGTCATGAGCCGGACAACTGGTGACCCCGCCTTCGAAGAACATTTCTAAGTGCATGAGTTGGACTATTTGTTTATTCGTGGGGCCAATGCGCTTGCGTCGTCCGAGTGGAGCTTCCCTGCGGTCTTTTTAGGTTGTATCCGTTGTCAGCCTTAGTAAAAGAGAATACTAGGAGATATAATTATCGACCACTGCAGTGCCGAACCAAGTTATTGAGTCTGAGGACCTTCTATAGAGCACGAAGGCTAGAGTGTGCCCCTAGATATCTTTTTTTTTTAATTGAGACTATAATATATTGGATATCAAAACTCAGAAGTGATGTTAAGAAAAAGAACGTTTCACTCTAAAAACTTGTACTTGTGAATTTACCCAGTAGAAAAACTGTTTATTTTGTGTAATAAATGAGGTAACTTACGGACATTCTACCTAAAGAACGCCCAGGGGACACTATTTCTGGTTCTTTAAGTGTATTGTAATGACTCTCACTTGAGTTCAACAAAATTAACACGAATGAACAATTACTCTTTCACTCAGTGGGATCCGAACACACAACTTCATAATTGCGCGTCCGATACTCTAGCATTTCATCTACAATGAAGGGTGATCCCCCCTCCGCTTTGTTGTATATCTTATATGCGTTTACTCTCGGAGTGTTGGCCAGCACCAGTCTTTAGATTATTTTATCTAGATTATTTCTTCAGAATATGTGAGTTTACGAACATCGCTAGCATGGACACTTTCTCCTATACTTTCTGACTTTATTGTAGCGTAGAGCGTCAGTTTGCCATAATTTTTCAAACAGTGGACGCGTTTTGCAATGATTTTAGTGTGAATGGACTATTATAGTATACTACCGCAGACCCATTCTTAGAGCTTTTTTTGGAGGAAAATAAACACTTCCCATAACCCGCTATTATGGTACTCCAACGCGTTCGTGAAATCGCCTTTATACACAGCGAATGTCGTTCTGAACTCGGTGACAAGGCTTTAAGAGAACTCAATTTCGGTCGCTTCGAGCAATAACGTTCTTGCTTGCCTTTCTGCACAGAGGAGTAAAACCGGAAAGCTTGGGTCAGTTCACGTAAAAGCTGCACAAATGCGGATATTTGCCTTTCTGCCTTCGATTCTATTCATAGTAGCGCCCTATATTTTTATTACCTTCTTTTTTTTCGATTAATATTGCACTCACTTGTGCGTGTGCTTCACAGATTTCACCGTTTTTTATTTCGTCGGCGTTCCGCTACGTCATCACTTTTCGTTTGCCTTTCGGGTTGAAGCCGCCGTAATGCGATTACCAAAGCAGCCGCTTGGCTTTTTAAAGAAACCTCGTTGTGGGCCTCAAGGGGGTTTCCTTTCCATATGCGGGCTCTCTTATTCTTGCCTCAGTTCAAGCTAATTTGTCGACGACGCATTTCGCGCGCGTTTGATCTTTTACGTTGCTACAAGAGGTGCTTTTTTTTTCCCTATAAATTCTCTTTTTTTCTCCACCTTGCCATTTCTCAGCATGCACGCTTCGTGACGTGCACACTCTTGTTCGCGACGACGTATCTTTAATAACATAATATTAATTACCGTGGTTCAACGTCCTAAAACCATCTTTACGAGGAATGCCGTATATGGTGTAGGGCTCAGGAAATTTTGACCATCCAGGGTTTTATCTAACGTGCCTTCTAAATCTAAGTCCACGGACCTCAAACATTTCCTCCTCTATCCAAAATGCAGCCACCGTGGCTTTGATTCGATCCCGAAATATGCGGGTTAGCAGTGGAGCAATACCATCAGCACAGTGATGGCATAGCGTTGCCCCGAAAAGATTACAAATGCGAACATTTGTACCGCCATTATGAACCTCCCAAGTGGCATGACGAGGAATGGATGAACGAATTGGTCCGACGCGTGACTTCAGACAGTATTGTGACCTTATTTGCATAACTAATCTGTCTCCGATTTACCCAAAACCTGCGGGACTATTGCAGCTTAGCGTAAACGCACA